AAATCTAATCATCACTACCTACCTAGTAACACAAACAGATCATTTTCAAACTATTTCAGCATTCAACCTATTTCAATTGAAATAGGACTATTTATACCATGTCAAGAGCTGCCTAACTTGGTATTACAGCTGCCAGAATCTCCCACCTCTAATCTGCTTTTCTTCAGAATGCTACCAATTATCTTCTGGTGACATTCTCTATTTAAAAATACTTCAAAGCATAAAATTCAAAATTCTTAATGTCACATATCTGGACCCAATCCATCTTTCCAGCTTCTTCTTCTGCTACTTTCTATCTGAATATTGCTGCTTCATGTCTTCTTACCCCTGAAACTGTCTTTCTCCCCTCTATTTCTCCACTTGTTAAATTACTTATCTTTCAAGATGCAACTTAAATGATTTTTCACTTTAACAATAATATACCTTTACAAATATATTATACCCTTCATTTCAGAAAAGTCACTATTACACTTAATTATAATATCTGGGAACAGCTCAAAACTCGAAGAGAGAACAATATATATTTTTTTAATCTATGAATACCTGAAGACTGTCGTCTTTGATTAGTTTATCTGTAGTGGATATCCTAAAAACTCACTGCTATCTATCCTAGATTCAATCCCTATGTTCAATTCCATAGATGCTTACTCAATACCAACTGTATCTTAGATACAGTCTTGTTTTTAACAAGGTTAGGCCTAAAGCCTTTTTACAGCTAAATATGTATGTAACAGGACAATAAGTATCATTTTTCTTCTTGTTCTGAAACTGTGGCTGAGGCCTACAGCTGAGGATAATTAAGCACACTTCCTTCTTCTAGCTTTAAGAAACCAACAATTACACTTTGTAGATTACCCAGGTGGAGAGGGATGGGAAGGGATTAATTTCAGGCTAGTTGGGGGCCACACACTGATGTGGGTAAGGGGAGAGATGGAATAGAAAGATTCTGTGACCACCATGATAGCATTAGGAAAAGGGAGGACACTGAATTATGCACATAAGATATAGACGACAGATGCTAATACCAACCAGCGGAAAGAGTCTGGTGAGACCCCCAATAACATGGCCCTGGGATACATTCTGGGCCTGGAATAGAACTCATTACCAGGGGCTGGCTCTCAGCCCAACAGTAAACAAGATGTACACACAAACCACTTAACCCAGGGTGACACACCCACATACTCTACAGAAATGCATTCCTTGGAGCAATCAACCATGTGGCACCAGAGGAGCAACATTCACAGGTAGGAAATGCAGGACACACAGAAGTGCATTAAAAAAATTAAAAAGAAGCCAACAGTAGTTTGTGCCAATCTTTTCCCTGAGGGCTTACTGAGAGGATCCAATGTTTGGACCAGCCCTATGATCAATATTGTACTACCCTCCCTCAGTGTGAATCTAGTAAGGTTGAGAGAAAAGAGGAGGTTACTGGACTTTGGTGGGAAAATGGGGTTTATGAAAAGAGGCTATTCTCTCCCTTCTTTAGGGAAAAAGTAGTATTATCCAAATCCAGAGGGTGAGAATCAAAGTTTGAGTGAGGTCATGCAAAAGAAAAGGAGGCTGCTATTTCATTCCTTGTTTCGTTATCTGTGTAGACAAAAGACTTACTGATTTGCTCTTCTGTTATGTGCAAAGGAGAAAAGAGAAAATGGGAAGAAGGTATGGTGGGAAAATTTCAGGTAGAGAGATGGGCAAAACTATCCCCTCTCCTTGAGTTCTTGGTTCCCAAGAGGTATAAAAAATGGTAAATTTCCGCCAATGTGCCTGTGGGCACTAGAGTTGGGAGGCAGATTTGATTGGGTGAAGTCTTGTGACAAAGACATACAATGTCAGAGTCACACGGTGTGAATGCCACCAATAAGAATTTAGCCAAAAGATGTAATCAAATCCTACAAAGAAATATCAATGTTTATGAAAACTGAATATGACTGATCTCATTGTCAGCAGAGCAAACTGGAGCTACCACTTGTATTTGTTTACCCACTGACAATAAGCCAGATGAGCTGTGTAGAGTAGTGCTGAACAACCAAGAAAGAGAAATGCCACCTCAGCACTGGGATACCATGCAGAACTCTGCCTTCCTTACCACTCCTCTGGGTCTCAACATCAAAAGAGGAAAAAGCATAAAGAGGGCGAGGATATATGCATGACAAACAGAACATACTCACCTACTCCCAAAGTATCTAACCCCAGATTAAGGTCTAGTCCAGTGAGAAGAGCACTGGATCAATCCTGTGACTGAAGTTATAATATGAAGAAGACTGAGTCATAAACACTGAAATGAGAATGAAGCCTGTGAAAAATATGGAATAGTGACAAGATATTATTACAGTTGATATCTAGTAGGAAAGGAGAGTTTGATAAGGCAGAGTTGGAAGGCAGTTACTAGACAAAAAGCAAAACTGACTTGTATTTATACCCAAACAAGGATCCTCAATGAATTGATTGCATAGTCTCTGCATTTAATTACTGCATACATTGCTGTTCTTAGCTTTCCACCTCTCCATTACTTTTCTGTATAATCAATGGAATTGAAGAGGGGCACCAGCAATGAAATCCAGTTATGAGTTCTATTATATTATGATATTTAGGCCATTGTGATAGAGCTGTGTGTCAACTTGGCTGGACCTCAGTTCTGTGTGGTTGTTCCCATGATAGGATTGGATGACTGTGTTCTAAGTGGCCAATCTGTTCAAGGGGAGTTTCCCTAGGGGTGTGGCCTGCTTCCAGGATATCCAGGGACATCCTGGGAAGAAACACATTCTTCTGTGGATTGGGATTCTGTTGTGCTGCCTAAAACTGTCCGTGAGTGAGCAGTCCACCATTCAGCCTGGAGATCTTGGATTCGTCATTTGTTGGCGTCAACAGCCGGTGAACTGCCTGCCAGCCTTGAGCTTCTTGGTCCCTGTGGGGAAAAGCCTCCAGCCTGATGTTTGCTCCAGGGACTTTGGACTTGCCGGCTTCTATACGTTTGTGAGCCGTTTTCCTAAGATAAATTTCTCTTTCTCTTTACATATATATAAGCTTTGCTGGTTTCTGTTTCTCTAGAGAACCCAGTCTAACACAGCCATCAACTTGCTTATTCCTGCTTGCTGCTCTGTCTTGTTAAATGCTAGGTAGATAAGAGTTTAAGAGCCATATTACAACTCCTGGGAAGAAGCCATCAAAGTCACAGATATGAAGGGGAAAAAAAAAAAAGCAATAATAATGATACGGTATGCTATAAGTGGTAACAGGTATTTCAAATGATAGAGTGGAGGAGATTGATGGAAGCAAAGCTCATAAAGCAGAAATTAATTTGATATCCAAATTCTTTCAACTTCCAGACTTTCAATGATTCAACAAAAGAAGAAATCCACAAAGAGAATGCACTTTCCTAAGGAATAAGTCATTGTTTTAAATGGCTTATCTGACAAAGAAGAGAAACCATTATTCTGTTAATGGATGCTGTTCAACTGCATGACAGAGAAGAAGGAAACTAAAAGACCTAGAGAAAAAGAGTATGAGAAAAGGAAGTGAAAGCTGGCCAGAAATTAGAACCTGAACTGGGAGGCTGCACATGGAGGATGAACAGGCATGAATAATAGACAGAGCTGAACAACTCCTGGATGAATGGAGACAATAATGTAAAGTGGCTGTGACACATTGCAATATTAATACATACCGAGACTGAACTGCGGGTAATGCTCATAAATCTAACTGCAATTAGTACAGGTTTCTGGATTAGGAAGGACATGGAAAGGAAAGCAGAAGGTTAGACTGTACATGTCATTGTTCCATTCAAAGAGAAGGTTTAATCTTTCAGTGGACTGAATATATTCATCTTCTGTACTGGCCAAAAAAGTACACCTTGTCTACCTGCTTTGAAAAGTAGTTTTATAATAATCGGCCTCTTCCCTTCTTCCCTGGATGGGCCTTGCCAAATGGACCTCAGAACCAAGCTCAGGAGAATTTATGCCACAAAAGTTTTATTTTAAAATGGGGTTTCTGTTTCTTGGGAAAAGATTCAGATAGTATCCTATGATGAGCTTTATTTAATATCTTTACTGCCTGGGAAAAGTCTATGTTTTTACAGAAGACCTTTCACTTACTTAAACATTTGTAAGTACTTTTTCTGTGCATGGCAGTTTAAATAGCAAAGGAAGAAACAGAGTTACTTTAATGTTAATCTAAGCATAAACTAAGAAGATATGCAAGAAGGATTGCTGACGCCCTGGAAAAGCATGGGCACAATGACAAGGAAGACTGCTTCTCTTTAGAAATTTACTAGGAATCTGAGTGGGTGTTCATCACCACAATTTTATTTTGCAATTGAGAGAAGGGTAGCAAATGAATAATAATTAAACTTTAATGCAGCAGTTTTCCAGTTACCCAGACCCTACTGATGACTGGTCTATAAGAACTAGAGTCATCTACATATTAAGTCACTGGTTACAAAGGAAGGTATTAAACAGAAAAATGGGTAAATGGAGGAAATAAATTCATTTTTGCAAGGCTTTCCCCAAAACCTAAAAATCAGCCCTTAAAGGAATCTTTATTTTGGTAACAGTACACTCAAAGATGGAATTCTATGTCCTTACGAATGATGTCCTTGCAAGTGATTAAGTTCTCTACATTCCAGGAGTACTGACATCACCACCAAAAGTAAAATGGTTGAGGTTGGAACAGATGGTGGAAGGGAACAGGGAAAAAAGTTAGGATAGTCAAGTGTTCATAGGTAGGACAGAAAAAGGGAACAGGGCAGATTTTTAAGCCACCAACGTTTTATCCAAATATTTGATCTTTAAAATTATGCACATGTATTCTAGACATAAAGCTAAAGAACCCTAGAAGATCAAATGTGAGGGGGATCCACAGTGCCTTGAGATTTGTTTTTTTTTTTTTTTCCACTTGTTCCTTATGAAAAAGATTCTGGGAATAACCCCTCTCTACACAACAAATGCACTTAAAACCCCAGGAAATCCCCCACTTATCCTGTGACTGTGCATCCTGCCTCTTACCATTGATCTACGAATCAATGACAGCCTGGTCTTTGCCTTATTCTCAGCAAATTCCAGGCTACTGATGTCTTTGAGACGAGCCTTGTATTTATTCATCTGTTCCACAACAATCAGCTCCACACAGCTAAAACAGGAAGAAAGAGACAAACTGTTAAGAGCTCAAGTAAAGTAAGTAAAGTGTAGCACCCAAAGACTATTTTTCAGCTCAGTGTGGTAGTAAGGTTGGGGGATGAAAAAAAAAAAAAAAACATTTCTTACTTTATGCACTCCAAGACAGGTTTTAGGACAGCAGTTAACTTTGGCTGCGCTTTAGAATCCATCTGCAGAGCCATTCCAAATCCTAATGCCCAGACCACACCCTAGGCCAATTAAATCACACTCTCTGAAGGTGGGACCCAAGCATTAGCATTTTTTAAAGCTTCTTTAGGAGCTCTGGTGGCATAGTGCCTAAGGCATTTGACTGCTAACCAGAAGGCTGGATGTTCAAACTATCAGCACTCCTTGGAAAGAAGACTAGGCAATCTACTTCCTTGGAAACCAAGGAAGGGTCGCTGTGAGTCAGAATCAAGTTGAGGGCAGTGAGTTTATTTATTTTTTGTTTGTTTGTTTGCAGTCAAATTAAGAACTACTACTCTAGAAGAAAAGCAAAGACCCATGAAAAAAGGCATAGGTAAAAAAATAGGAGCATGAAAGTACTAAAATCAAAGGGATTCAGAGCCATGAAATCAGATTAGACCAGATTACAGGAAGACAGGAAGTGTACATAATTTGACATAACAGAACATAAAAAAAAACAAAACAAAAACTATTTAAAAACTATAAGCAATCCTAAGCAAGTGCCCTATTTAAAAAATAAGATCCTTCAAAATTAATAAATTACAGCTGAATAGAATCTAAAGGATTTTTCTATTTTCAGTATAAGAAAACCTAACAGTGTCTAGATGTCAGTACATAGCAATCTTCTTAAAAATATCTGAATTTAATAAATTATTCACTATGCTTGATATCTGGATGAAGTGACTACACTGACTCAACCAGAAGTCCCTGAGGTCTTCCAGAGGTGATGGTGACTGTCCTTACGTGGTGGTCTTACTGATGTCCTGCACACTCTGTAGTGGGTCAGTGGTGTCAGGGCAGCGGAGAATGCAGGGAGCAAACACAATGGCCAAAGCATTAGCAGACATTCGATTAGTGTCTTCCTGTAGAGCAATCCTAAGTAAGAAAAAGGAAAAACAAAAATCAAATGAAAAGGGAGTAAAAGGGAATAATAACATGGAGGTAGGCAGAAGACATGAGTGAAAGAAGTTATTATGACATCAACCTCACAGTATTGGAAACAGCCACATCAGTTTACGGGAGACACTGTAGACTCTTCCCAAACTGTTCTGCCTCTGTCTCACTTTGTTCCTTCCCTGAAGTAACCTAGTTCAACAGATAGTTTATCAAAGGAAATTCATGACTCGCTACTCAAGGCCAGTATCATCAGACCAAAATGTCTGAAGAATGCAAAGTAAAGGCTTTAAGGCATTTTTAGACAAGCATATAAGATATTTAACCAGAAAGAAAGACTTTCTTCCCAATTACTTCTGATATTTACACTCAAGGAAGAGAGACTACTCCTCAATTTTCTTCTGTCAAATGCTGAGCACCATCTTAACCCATCTCTCATGAATTAGGGTTGTTGTTGTTGTTGTTGTTGTTATGTGCCGTCGGGTCGGTCTTGGTTCGTGGTGACTCGACGGCACATAACAACAACAACAACAACAACAACCCTAATTCATGAGAGATGGGTTAAGATGGTGCTCAGCATTTGACAGAAGAAAATTGAGGAGTAGTCTCTCTTCCTTGAGTGTAAATATCAGAAGTAATTGGGAAGAAAGTCTTTCTTTCTGGTTAAATATCTTATATGCTTGTCTAAAAATGCCTTAAAGCCTTTACTTTGCATTCTTCAGACATTTTGGTCTGATGAATTAGGGTTATGTCAACAGATATATGATCCTTTCTAGTTAATGGCTAGAAAACAGGTAGGCTATTTGTCATTATGAGGTTGAAGTTGTTATACAGCTGAAACAGAGCCATGTAGCCCAACTCAGCTGTGGATTTCTATTCCCAGCTACTTCTTTGATAGGAGAGATGCTGACTTTATAAATTAGGGGAAAAAAAAAAATCTGTCAGTTTTCCAAATGGAAGAACTCCTTATATATTTAAAAGAGTCCAATAGAAACTATTAAACATTCTCTTGGTTCTTGAAGTTACCTAACTAGATGAAAGATGAGGCGTTCCAGTGTATTGAGATGAGTTCGGGAGAGCTGGTCAATCACAGAGTATACACCATGGATTGTCTCCTTCCTCTCCTGAAGACCTGAAAACAGTAAAGGCAGTAAATAAGACTGAATATTCCTCTTTATATGTTCTATCTTCCTCCTGGACAGATGCTAAGTAGCAGAAGAAGTTGGCTCTAGAGTTTTGGCACTGAAGGAACATGTGGGGAAATGGATTTCCTTTTGAAAAGACTAAAGAGAGATGACAAAAGAAAACTGTAATCGATCCTGGGGAATATCAGGAATCCACTTGACCTGATAAATTACTTAATGGGGCAGTGGGTAGTCTGTAGTGAGATGGTCCAGGTACCATAGAAAGACAGTTGCCAGTATATTGAACTAAGATCAGGCAAAGGAGACAACTGACATTCAGGACAGACATGGCAACTGTACGCATTTGAAGCAAATATACTTAACTGTCTGCAGAAACGATTCTGTCCTTAAAAAGATTCAGAGGGAATAAATGAAAAAAAATGAGACATATCATTAAGGCAGCAGCTAATAAAAATATAACCAGTGGGGGTGGAGGGAACCACCAGTGAAAAGCAACTTGTAACTTTAAGAATTACAACATCTAATCTGTTGAAATGAAAATGTCATGCTCTGATATGACATATGGAAAATATGGATAATGGTCTCCTGTGGAGTCTAAAGAAAGTTGGAGGCTGAGAATTTGTCAATTCATCTCTCTTACTCTTTTGAGGGAGGCATGGCAGGGGAAGAGCAACTCACAGTTAACCACTCAACTCCCTTTGCTTGATTTCTATAATATATATACTAAACAGTCTCCTGAGTTGTAATACATTTCCTGGAAATCTTGATTACAGGATTGGGATAGAGATGTCCTAATGTTTCAGCCATTATGATTCCCCATTAAAATGAATCATCTGTCATAGTTTATATACCAATCTCACAGGAATTTGAGGCCTCATGCCTCAGGGTTAGAACACCTCTAAGTAAGTCTTCATCAATATTCTACACACCTGTCTCTCTCTCTCTCTCACAGCTGTTGAGTCGGATCTGACTCATAGCGAACCTTCCTTGGTTTTCTGAGGCAGTATTACTGTGGAAGTAGATTGCCAAACCTCCCTTCCAAGGAGTGGCTGATGGGTTTGAATCACCAGCCTTCTGGTTAGCAGTCAAATGCCTTAGGCAAAAACCAAACTCTGAAACCTGCTAGACTTGGCATAAAGTAGGCAGCCAAGTTTATAATACAGAGTTCTTGCTTAGATTCATAAACCAGCACTTAAATCTTCTATTTTATCTTTTAACCCGTTTCATAACCCTAGTCTGAATCTCTTTCTTTGTGAGAAGTAACTAAATAGCTTATTTATAGAAAACATTTAGGACACTGACATTTCAATGAATCTCTCAAGAGTCAACAGTTGGATAGGTGACAGTACCCTGGCAGTTTGGAATTGACTGCCAAAAGCTTAACTCTGGACTACAAAAATTAAACCATTTTAGGGGATAATTCCGTAATCTATACTGAAGATGACACTCTTTTTCTAAGTGTAGGCCTTCCTTCTGATCCAGGAAACTTGTGCTTACCCATAGCCCGAAGAAATTCTTCATAGAGTTCAAAGGTCATGAGTGGATTAGGCAAATCACGAAGCCATTGTTTGAATACACTTGCAATGACATGTATGTTATAGTCATCTAGGTTTACATTCTCAGCATCTATTCAGAGACAAGAGTTAGATTACAAAGCCGAAACATGTAAAAAGATTCAAATAATTGATTTTATTTTATTTTTTCCTTTTATTTATTTTTTGCAGTGTTCCCTCCCCTCTCTTCCCACCCCTGGCAACCAACAAAGAAAATTTCCTTCCATATATAAACCTTTCTTTGACTTTTCACAATAATGAACTAATGTAATATTTGTCCTTCTGTGACTGACTTATTTCACTCAGCGTAATGTTCTCTAAGTTCATCCACATTATGTGGTGTTTTGTAGATTCTACACTATTCTTCAATGTTACACAGTATTCCACTCTGTGTACATACTGTAGTTTGCTTATCCATTCTTCTGTTGATAGGCACCTAGGTTGTTTCCATCATTTTCCTATTGTAAATAGTGCTGCAATGAATATGGGTGTGCGTATATCTGTTCTTATCCTGGCTCTCACTTCTTAGGATATATATCTAGTAATGGGATTGCTGGGTCAAATGGTATTTCTAATTCCAGCTTTTTAAAGAATCGCCATACTGCTTTCTTCAGTGGTTGTATCATTTTACAGTCCCACCAGCAGTGTATGACAGTTCCAATCTCTCCACATCCTCGTCAGCATTTATTTTCAAATAATTCATTTCAGAAAGTATCATCACCAAAAAAAGCCTAAGTTTCTTAAACTGACTAACTCACATCTTCTACAATCTAATTACATGCTTTGAAAAAGTGCTTCCAAAGAAGAAATAGTTGTTATTTATTTTTTTCCAAATCTGTTGTGGGCTGATACATTCATTACTGCATGTGGCAACACTGTTAAGCTGCTCTTAAATAGTTGCTCTCAATTTCTATTTTTATTTTGTTGTCAACTGGTCCATGGAGTGGCCATTTAAAGGGCAATGCTTTAGGTGACAAATGGAAAAGAGGCCCATAGAACATTTTCTAAAACTAAGGATGATATTAAGTCATTCTTGGAGATGAAAGGATGGTGAAAATTTAGCTTAGGAGATGTAATGGAAACACCTTTACTATATTTTACTTATAAACTCCCTAAAGTTATACAGATTCTTTGGTACGCAGAACTTCCTGACTGAATTTTACTAGGTATTTTCTGTTATTATTTCCATACTAAATTCATTTCTCACGGAACAGGCTAAAATAAAAAATATTTTGAATATGTTTTTGGCCATGCCAAAACAAACTTTGTACCTATGGTTGATTCAAAAACATCTATGCCTTCACAACACTATTAAACAGCAGAAGTTGAAAATGAAGTCAACCCCTTGGATATGTTCCAGGATTGAGACTAGAGCTCTATGCAGACAGATGCTCAACTTACTAATTTTGTAAGTAACTAAGTCATCAATGTAGAAAGGCAAGCAGATGCACTGGAAAGAGAACCAGACTTTAAGTCAGAATAACAGAGACTAGTAGGCAATAGCTTAGATTATAGTTCTGAAGATCTGAAGTTAAATCCCAGCTTGGCCACTTATTGATGATTAATCTTTGGGCAACAACCTCTATAATGGGGATAATAATATTCATAATTCATAGGACTGTTGTGAAGATTATTATGGAATGTATATCACAATGCCTTACATCTTCATCAACCACTTGTTACTTAGTATTTTGAAACCTTAATTTTCTTCTTTGTAAATTAAAGATATGACATATCTCACAGGATTTTTTTTCTAAAAATTAAATGAGATCTGTCTGAAAATGCCTAACAATGCCCTGCACAAATGATGTGCTCAATAAACGCTTGCTGAATTGACCTTTTTAAAAGCAGACTCTTTAGAAAGCTGCAAAATGGCAAATGACCACCAAAGAAAAGTCTGCATTTTTCTGGCTGCAAATAAAAGATTAACATGTAATGAAAACTGTATGAGCATGAAAATATCTATCTAAATAAAAGTATTTGGTCTTGATTTGAAGGATACTATTTTACCTGTATCTAGACTGTGTCGAAGCTCCTTGATTTTATTAGTTGAACCAGATTTTCGGTAAATTCCTTCTGTATACAATCCATGCATTTCAATGTAGTTTATGAGCTTTTCCACCACTAAAGGAACAGTTCGGTCTTCACTGGTCAAACGGGACAGTTCAACCCCAAACTGTCGAGATGATAGCTCTGGGTCATACTAAATGGAAGATAATTTTTGTTTCTAAATATAGTCAAACACATTTTAACATGTTTAATCATTTCTTTGAGAGGAACTAAGTTTTCATTTCCCAGAAGTTTATGAGTATAGTTAGGAGGTTTGGGACATTATGATTAATCCTAAGAATATAAATGAGCATAGTGAGATGTTAGTTTCCATCCTTTTCCACTGGAAATCACCGAAAGAAAATAATGGAGAATTGAGGCAGTGGCAACCGGAAACTGTATCCCTTCTTATTGAAAATCTCTTCATGCAAGGGTGGATTTGGGTGTGGGAGAAGAGGGATGGATTTTGTTTTCAAACAGCTTGAATATTTACTAGGTACCATTAGAATTCTGGGAGCCCTGGTGGCATAGTACCTAAGGCATTTGACTGCTAACCTTCTAGAAGGTTGGTGGTTCAAACTCACCAGCCCCTCCTTGGAAGGAAGGTTGGGCAATCTACTTCTGTAGAGATACTGCCTCGGAAACCCAAGGAGGGGTCACTATGAGTCAGAGCCAACTCAACAGCAGTGAGTTTGGTTTTTATTAGAAAATCTACTGATTTTATAAAAATTCTTGTTACAAGTAATTTCTGAAGCACAAGCATGTGTTGATGTTTATGTAAACTTTAGAGAAGTTTAAATGAATACTGATGTCATTAACTAAGAGCAGAAACATATATAGATTGGCCCATGATTAGTGCTAAGGCTCTTTCTTATTGAATGTGATAGTGGATCTCATATCATCCTTATTAACCATAGCTTACGTAACGACAACAGAACAACTTATCCTTAAGATTACTGAAGTAATTTATAGAAAAGAAAAATGCCAGGTATTATCTATGAAGTTGAATTAAATAAATCTCTTCCTTCTGTACCATTCTTCAACCTCAACTCAAAATCCAGTCAGTTCAATCTGCATTCAATCAGTTGCCAAGTTGTTCTGGTCAGTCAGTATACCCTTTCTGTTTATTTATTTACTTTTCTTCTCTGTTTATCCTAATTCAAATTTATATCATCATTAACTTTGACTATGCAACAGCTTCTTGATAAATTTCCCCACATTTATTTTCTTCCCTTTTAACGTAATCTATAGTATATTTTCCTGAAAAATCTGCAGTAGCTAATACATCAAAAATCAATGAATGAAGTCCAAATATTCTTGAGTCTACCATTCAAGACCTTACTTGATCTAGTCCTAATTTCCCTTTCTAGTCTTACATTGGGAGCTCTGGTAGCATAGTGGCTAAGACACTTGCCTGCTAACCAGACGGCTGGCGGTTCAAACCCACCAGCCACTCCTCGGAAGGAAGGTTGGGCAATCCTACTTCCGTAGTGATACTGCCTCGGAAACCCAAGGAGGGGTCGCTATGAGTCGGGGCCGACTCGACGGCACATAACAACAACAACAACAACAGTCTTACATTAATACCTTTATCATTTATGTGCTAGGTACCATGAAAACAAAATCGAATGAATAGCAGACAGTCCTTACCCTAAATCAAATACTAACACTAAAAGTCTAAGTGTGTGGAAATGAGAAAAACAACCATAACAGATCTATTAGGTACTGTGTAATGAGAGAAGAGAAGTAACTATACCAGTAGGCTGAAACAACTATATCAGGGCTGGGAAACAACAAATGACCTCCAGAAGACAGATGCTTAACCTAAGAGTTGAAAAGTAAAGTCAAGAAGGCAAAAAGAGATCCTACCTCAAAGGCACAGGCAACATAGAACTAAAGTTGGGAAACAAACCATAATTAATCTGGTATGGCTGAAATAAAAAATGAGGAAAGTCCAGAGAAGGATATAAGTATTTTGAATACTAATACACAGAATTCAGGTCTTATCCTGAGGATAAGGAAGTCACCAAAGAATTCTAAGTTGGAGAAGACATAATTAGTTTTGTGTTATTTTGCATTATTCACCTACATACATCCTGCACTACAGTACTTACTGAGTTTCCATTTTGAGGTATGATAAATTAACATCAGTTAATATCTCTGAAAAGTATTTCTGTATCTCAGGCATAATTGAAAGGACATGTAATCTTGAAATAGAGGTTATATTAAAATTTTAGCATCACCACTATTTGAACTTGGCTAGGTTACTTCATGGGAGCTCCGGTGGCATATGACTGCTAACCAGAAGGCTGGCAGTTCAAACCCACCGGCCACGCCTAGGAAGGAAGATTGATTATTTCTTATTTTCAACAAGAATACCACTGTTCTACCCTATAGCACTATCATAAAAATTAAGTTACAGGTGAACATACACAGTATGTTGTTGTTGTTATTTGCCATTGAGTCGGCCCTGACTCCTAGTGACCCCTCCTTGGGTTTCCAAGGCAGTTATCACTACGGAAGTAGGATTGCCCAACCTTCCTTCCGAGAAGTGGCTGGTGAGTTTGAACCGCCAGCCTCCTGGTTAGCAGTCAAGTGCCTTAGGCACTATGCTACCAGAGCTCCTATACACAGTATAGTACCTGACATATGATAAATGCCCAATCAATTTTCAAAGAAATAAAATGTAATAATAATGTTTGTTGCAATGATTATAACAAAATAAACTTTAGTCTAACTTCTTGCTATCACTGTGACATACACATATGAAGACATTATTTATGTTCTTTAAATGTTGTAACTTTCCCTACAGCATTAGGAATCTTAATAGTTAAGATTTATGAAAGTAAAAGGGGAAAAAATAAAAAGAAAAGAAAACACTGAGGGCATTAAACAAAAACTTATAAAACAGCTTGAATAGATCAATCAACTGGTTTGGTTGAAATCAGCAATCTAAAGTAAACCTACCCACTGCCATTATGTCGATTCCAACTCATATTTAAAAATTCAATTTCTTGAAATTATTGTAAAAATTAGTGCTACTATTTCCAACTGAAAAAAATAAATTAAGTTTAATTCTGAGAGTCTAGGGTGTTTACTAGGGTCTACCCACCAGCCACTCCTTGGAAGGAAGATGGGGCAATCTACTTCCGTAGTGATACTGCTTCGGAAATCCAAGGAGGGGTCGCTATGAGTCGGGTCAGCCTTGACAGCACATAACAACAACAACAACATCTTTAATGGTGGATCCTACAACCAATTTTTTCCTTTTTATCACTGTGAAGCTGTAGAATCTGCTTTTCTGATTAGCTTCTTAGTTTTTTGCCCTTTGTAGTTTAAGAATTCAGAAAATGCCCTAAGGGGAAAAAACCTCAAATTCCAGGCTCAATTTTCTGTATGTCTGCATCATGGCTCCTCGAATCAATGTAGTCTCAAACTCCATTTTCTGTATCTATAGCCCTATGAGATTGCTGGCTTCTCTGTTTCTTAAATGAGGCCCTCAGCTCAGATTCTTGGTCTCTACACCATATTAACTTCTTGGCCACAGCCTACCACTCTCAAGGGAGTTGACCTGTGTGCTTGGGACCATGGTCGCAGGGGACACAAAGCTCAATCGGCATAACATACTACACAAAAACACTGTTCTACATCCTGCTTTGGCGAGTAGCAACTGGGTTCTTAAAAGCTTGCAAGCAGCCATCTAGATGCAATGATAGGTCTCTCCTCATCCTGAGCAAAAAAGAATGAAGAAGACCAAAGATGCATGGAAATAATTAGTCTAAGGGACTGGTAGACCATGTGTTCCTTAGCTTATATGGCATGAGACCAGAACTAGATGGTGCCCTGCTACACCAGAAACTAGAAAATTCCTGATAGGAGAAAAACATCCCACAGAATATAGATTCACCACTCTGCAATTCTACTGCCTTTAGGATCTTAGCCCCTCAGATCCAATTTGTATGGGTAGCTCTCTGATGCTTGCCAACGGTCAATTTTTCAGTTCTTCTCAGCAAGAACATTTGTCTGCCAATAAGCTATTATACCTTAGCTGAAAGCATTATGCCCCACCTTCATTGTATTTAAGCTCTGAAACAGATTTTTCGATGAACTTTGCAATGATTTGCCACTAATTTGGAGCAAATGCAAATTCTATACACAGACTATATACAACACTCATGCCTATTTATATTATAGTTCAGATTTGCACAGCATTTCTAAAACTGTAACAGGGTCCTTTGGTCCTACATAACAGACTTCATGGCAGTAGGTTTGGTCTGGTTACAACTATGGCTAATAAAGGAGCTCTGGTAGTGTAGTGCCTAAGGCACTTGACTGCTAACCAGAAGGTGGAAGTTCAAATCCACCAGCCACTCCTCGGAAGGAAGGTTAGGCAATCTACTTCCTTAGTGATACTGCCTCAAAACCCAAGGAAGGGTTGCTATGAGTCAGGTCCGACTTGACAGCACATAACAACAACAACAACAACAACATGGCTAATAAGTAACAAATAATGTTGTGATTATACAACCACCAGTAAAAGTTTGCTTACCTTTTTAGAGCACTTGGCTGTGGTTTTCAGACAGCACTTCTTGTGGCAAGCATACTTGCATACTGAAAAACATGTAAAGAGTGATGTAGTTTTAGATGGGTCCATATCAATGATAAGAACTTTACCAGTTCACAACTTGTTTTTTTGGCTGTTAAGTATTTCCTTTCAATGTGAGCTCTGGTGGCATAATGCCTAAGGCATCTGACTGCTAACCAGAAGGCTGGCGGTTCAAACCCACAGGCAGACTGGGCCTTCCATAGAGATACCACCTGGGAAACCCAAGGAGGGGTCACTATGAGTCATAATCAACTCGATGGCAGTGAGTGAGAGTTTTGCTATAATGTCTTACACTTTTTGTTGTTGTTAACTTTTTGGAGTCAATGCCAACTCATGCCAAGCTTATGTACAACAAAACAAAATGCTTTGTGGGATTTTCATTTCCCAGTCTTCTGGAAAAAACGAAGTTGAAAAACATGCTTAACATTTCTAACCATTGTCTATGAAAAAGCTTTTTATTCTTTCAAGATTCCCCCTCCCTGACCTCATCAATATTCCAGCAAGACAGGTGATTTGATTCAAAAATTAGTGCTCATGTTCCCCCACGTACATGCTTTATAATATAACCTGCTAAAAGGCCAGTTAAAAATCATTCCTATGGGTAACTAAGGAATTATTATCAAAGACTCTTAGTTAAATGGAAACTAACTGGTTAGCACGTTAAGATAAAAAAAAAAGGCCTCATTTATTAGATTTTCTCCGAAGGCCCAGAATAGAGCTCTGAGAAATCAAAACATCAGGACTATCAGTTGTGACTGAAATGATGAGATAAAGAAAAGATTCAGAACAGAAATAATTTGTTGGACCCATATATATGGGGGTGGCTGGGAAGTCAGTGGGCAGCAGAGGCACACTAAGAGAATGAAACCACAAACACCTGGGCTATGTCATTTTGCTACAACAGCTTTGACTCATGCATAACAATACCTGACTCTCTCTCTCTCTCTCTCTCTCTCTCTATATATATATATTTAATTGTGATTTGGGTGAAAGTTTACAGAGCAAATTCATTTTCCATATGTAATTCATAAACATTTTGTTTCATGACCCTACTGCAATTCCCTACAATGTTAACAGTTCTCTTTTCACTTCCTCCCTATAGTTAACCTCTTCCTTGTGTCCTTCTTTCCTATGCATTTCTGCCCCCTTGAGCTATCTCCCTGTGCAAACACTGTGCTTCTGTTCTCCCGTGACTCATCAATAGATCACTCTTAGGAGTGTATCTACCTGATGTAAATGTTCACCTCATATGCCTGTCTATTGTTTAGCTGGAACCCACCAGAGTGAGTTCAATTCCAGACCTGAAGGGTAACTAGAGGCCATAGTCTTGGGGTTCTCACCAGGCTATACCAGACCAGCAAACCTGGTCTTTCTCCTATTTTTTTTTTTTTAATGATTTTGAGGTTTGTTCCACATTGTTCTCCCATTCTATCGAGGATCTCCTGCAGTGATCCCTTTCTGAGAGGTTAACAGTGGTAGCTGGGCACCGTCTAATTCTTCTAGATGGTCTCACCGTCATATAGGCTGAGGATCGCATGGTCTACCAGTCCCTTGGACTAATACTTTCCATGCATCTTTGGTTTTCTTCATTCTTTTTTGCTCTGAACGAGGAGAGACATTGTTGCATCATCTAGATGGCCACTTGCAAACTTTTAAGAACCAAGTTGCTACTCACCAAAGGAGGATATAGAACAAAGTTTTTGTGTAGTATGTTATGCCAAATGAATCCTATGTCCCCTGCAACCACAGTCCCCAGCATACAGGTCAACTACCTCTGAGGGTGGTAAGCTGTGGCCAGGAAGTTATCATAACTTTGCCCCTTGTTAGCTCTATGATACATTTGGACATTCTTACAGCACATACAAAAACATATGTAAATATCTATCTTAAACTGAACTCTGGTAGCATAGTGCCTAAGGAAGGAAGATGGGGCAATCTACTCCTGTAGTGATATTGCCTCAGAAACCGAAGGAGGGGTCGCTATGAGTTGGGACCGACTCGAGGGCACATAACAACAAAAAACTTCTGAACTATAATTTGAGGTTTTCAAGGCCAAAATCAAGCAGAAGAGGATGAATCATTGTACTGGTAAAGTAACCAAGAAAATAAAGAAAGTTAATTGATTCTATTAAGAAACCAAACCAAACCCATCCCAATCATAAAAAAACTTCTTTAACCTTTCAATTTCAGCTCACAGAGGAAAATACATCAAACCTACAGGAATCAAAATAACATTATAGAGTCAAATACATTTTATAACATTTCTCATTTTTGCTCCCACTAGAAATTTTTAGATTATTCATAAGAAAATGAAAGGAAAACCAACGTTAGACCATGGAGTAAGTGAACACATCCAGCACAGTGATGATTTTACTATGGTAAACATAACTTTTATCCTTATTGTCATACTAGACCCAGCCCTTCATAATATTTCCTTCATTCATTTTGAGCCTACTAGTAAAAGCAAAGGAGCCCTAGTGGCACTATAGCTAAGTGCTATACCCAGAGGCTCCATGGGACAAAGACCTGGTAACCTGCTTCTGTAAAGATTACAGGCAAGAAAACCTTGGGGGCAGTTCTACTCTGTCTCAAGAGGTTATCGAGGAATTGAAATCAACTCAAAGGTGCTTAATGGTAGTAAAAGCAAACCCTCACAGAATTACTGATAACATCAGAGTAGATGCATGGAGTAAAAACCAAAAACCAAACCAAACTCACTGCCATCAAGTTGGATACAACTCATAGCGACCCCTCCTTGGGTTTCCAAAGTGGTATTACTACGGAAGTAGATTGCCCAACCTTCCTTCTGAGGAGTGGCTGGTGAGTTTGAACCACCAGCCTTCTGTTAGCAGTCAAATGCCTTAGGCACTACACCATCAGAGCTGTAGCTTAGGACCTAACAAGTGTCTCTACTAATATGTTAGGATTTATATATTTTGATGAAAGGTTTATAGTGGAAAAAAAAAGTACCTTTTTGGAAATAACCTAAGAATTTGTTCATTAATTCATCCATCCATCTAAAGGTCTGTCTATCTAACAAGTATTTATTAAAACTTATTATGTGTCAGAACTACTCTAGAACATGATGATAGAGACAAGTAAGTTTCCTGAACTTCTAAAATTTAAATTCTAGAAGGACAGTGATCTACTTGACAAACAAGAAAACAAATGAGATGGCATTTGAGTGGAGACAAGAGCTACTGAAATTATAAGTCATGCTAAAATCTGGGAAAACCTACAAGGTGAATAATAGTACCAGGGAGCTACACACTCATTGGAACAATCAACTATATTAAAAGGGCAGCATTTGCTCACAGATAGAGAGAGCTATGAAATCAGGAAAGGATAGGAGAGAAAGATGAAGGGAAATAGTAAACACCGGGAAGAAGTGGGAAGAGTGCTGCTACATTGTGAGGTTTACAATAAACATCACAGAACAAAATGTGTGTCAATTCTGTAAACTTTCATCCAAATCATAATTAAGAAAAAGACAGAAAAAAATAAATAAAATCTAGAAGAAAATTTTGGATAGAATACAAAGGCTCTAAGTGACTAAGGGATACTAAAAAATCTGGTTTGGCAACAATGAGTATGTGAAGGGGAATATAGTGAGAGATGAGGTTAAAGAATTAGCAGTGTGATTTAGTCCTTTATATTAAAGAAGATAAAAAGAAAGTTAAGGAAATAAGAAATGTCAAGTGGGGGACTTCTGGTAACATGGAGGAATCGGCAAACAAGCGACACAGACCCTCTTCAACAACAAGAAAAGAAAAACCAATTGACAGAGATACAGAAGCTAATCCTGGAACCCTGAGCTTTGAAAGGAACTATACAGTGGTGGATTAGGCACCAACTAGTGGAAAAACCTGAACGAAAACAGTGAGTATAGAGATGGCTGGAGCTGCAAACTGTAGGGATGGAGGAATAGGCAGACAAGCGACACAGACACTCTTCAACAAAGAAAAGAAAAACCAATTGACAGAGATACAGAAGATAATCCTGGAACTCTGAGCTTTGAAAGGAACTATACAGTGGTGGATTAGGCACCAACTAGTGGAAAAACCTGAACGAAAACAGTGCGTACAGAGTCAGCTGGAGCTGTGGACTGTCAGCTACTCTGATGAGACCAACAGCCTGAATATTTCCAAGCTGTGTTGGGACCTGAGAATTGACCTAAAGATCAGTCCCAGGCACCAAGGGCTGCAGCGACAACTGCTTGGGTGGCCTATGACTAGGAAGTGAAACAGCAAGGAGGGAGACAACCTGAGCTGTAGACTTCCTGCTGTCCAGAGGGCACAGCCATTTTGATTGTTTACACATGGCAGCCATTTTGGATATTTAAAGTGACCGAGGGTGCAGCCATTTTGAATTTTATAAGTGGTGGCCATTTTGGATATTTAAAGTGACCGAGGGCACAGCCATTTTGAATGTATACAAGTGGCAACCATTTTGGATTTTAAAGTGACAGCATTCTCATTTGGATTCCAGGGACCTAAGAACAGGCTCTGTTTGCCAGGGTCGGCAAGGACATACGAGAGGCTGACAGTGGAAAGGAGACAGGTGGTGAGTGTGTAAGTGCTGTGAACCAATGAATAGAGGAGCACAGCACAGTACCCTGCTTGCGTAGATAACACAAAAAGAAAACAAAAATCATGGGCAAGTCACTCCAACATATAATCACCAATTAAATACAAACACAAAAAACGTCACAATGCCTCAGAGACAACAGAGCATCACACTTCACACAAAGAAGCAAGATAAAGCAGGAGAAACAAGGGAGCAGGATACAGACCCAAAACACATCCCTGAGGAAGACACAGCACTGGAACTCCCTGATTAGGAATTCAAAAGAATTATATTTAGGTATCTTCAACAGATTGAGAGACAGACCAAGGAAAACACAGACAAAAACCCTAGAAGAATTTTGGAAGACAATACAAGAACAAAAGACAAAATCAATGAAAAATTAGAAATGATTCTTCATCTACAGATAGAAATCCAGAAGATTAATACTAAATTGTCAGAAATAGATAACACACTGGAAGGGCGAAGGAGTAGAATTGATGCAAGGGAAGAAAGAATTAATGAGATTGAAGACAAATACCTGAATACTTCTTTGGAAAGGGATCAATCAGAAAAAGATCAAAACAAAATGAAAAGGAATATCTACATGTCATTGGAATTCCAGAACAGGAAGAGAAAAATAAAACCACTCAGAAAATTGTCCAAGATATGTTGGAGGAGAACTTCCCTGATATGATGAAAGAGGAGAATATATCCACTCAGGAAGTCCAACAAACCCCAAACAGGATAGACCCCAAAAGAAAAACACCAAGACATATCATCATCAAACTCACCAAAACCAAAGACAAAAGAAAGAATCATGAGAGCAGCACAGGAAAAATGAAAAGCTACTTACAAGGGGCAACCAATAAGACTAAGCTGGGATTTCTCGACATAAACCATGCAGGCAAGAAGACAGTGGGATGGTATGTATTTTCAACCAAGAATTATGTACCCAGCCACATTGTCCCTCAAATATGATGGGGAAATTAGGACATTTCCAGATAAGCAGAAATTAAGGGAATTTGTTCAAACCAGACCTTACAAGAGATGCTACAGGGAGCCCTTTGGACAGAGAAGCAACAACAGCCAACAACAACTGACCATTAACACACATGATGATATAACCCAGAAACCAACCCAGCTATGGACGTATCCAAAGTAAATAAGCCTAAATGATTGTAAATAGGGAACCAGAGACACCAACCGACAAATGAGGACAACTACAAACCAAAAAGGGAAAAAAATCTGTGTCGTTACAGAACTTCTAGAAGGTAGGGAAGTCAAGACAACTACAAGATAGAATGGACTGTTCTAAACTTGGGAAGAAATCACAGGGTAACCTCAAAGAAAATGATAAACCTTCACATCAAAATAAAAAAGAGGACCAGCATAAATATTCAGCAAATACTAAAACAATAGCAATGAAGGAAGTGATAACATGATTCATAAACAAAATGAGCTCATCATAGAAAATTATATGGAACAAAGAAATCAACACAATGAAAAAGCACATGACAAAAATGACAGCAACAAATTCGTATTTGCTGATAATTACATATCTGGCAAGGGACTTATCTCTAAGATTGATGGGGAACTCTAATGCCTCAACACCAAAGGAATTAACAATCCAATTGAAAAATGGGCAGAAGACATGAATAGACACTTCACCAAGGAGGATATTCAGGTAGTCAGCTAATACATGAAAGGATGTTCACAATCATTGGCCATCAGAGAAATGTAAATCAAAACAACAATGAGATATACCATCTCACCCCAGCACTGATGGCAAGATTCAATGAGACATAAAATAACAAATGCTGATGGGGATGTGGAGAAATTGAAACTCTCATACACTGCTTGTATAACTGTGAAGTGACACAACCACTGTGGAACGCAATATGGCAATTTCTTAGGAAGTTGGAATTGGAGATACCATTTGACCCAGCAATCCCATTACTAGGTATAAATCCTAGAGAGATGAGAGCCAGGATAGGAACAGAAACATGCACGCTCATGTTCATCACAGAACTACTTACAAAATAGCAAAAAGATGGAAACAACCTACATGCCCATCAGCAGAAGAGTGGATGACCAAACTATGGTACATATACATACTGGAATGCTATGCAGCACTAAAGAATTATGTAGAGTCTGCAAAACACCATATAATATGGATGAACTTGAAGGACACTATGCTGAGTGAAATAAATCAATCACAGCAGTACAAATATAGTATTAGTTCGTTTTTTTGGGGGGGGAAAGGAAAAGGTGGTATTTTGGGGGGAGATTCTTTTTTTGTTGCCCGGGGGGGGGGGGGGGGGGGGGGGGGGGGAAAAAAAAAAAAAAAAAAAAAAAAAAAGCATTGATCCATGTCACTTTAGTTTTGTGTATTTCACTGTACATAAATTATATTTCAATGAAATGCATTTTTAAAAAAATAAAAAATAATTAAAAAAAGAAAAAGAAATATCAAGTGGTTAAAAAAAAATTCCCAAAAGATCTCTCATACTTACATTTGCAAACAGAAGCTCGGTCCATTATCCATATCAAAGAAGAACAGTACTCACAGTATGTAGGGATGCTGTATTGGGTGGCTTTAAAGATGTGACCATTGTGTTCTTCAACCTAAATATAAAAATTTAGCTGTTTATAGTAAAGGTAACACAGTAAATACTACCCTAACAGGGTCAACTAATGGGAAATACTTTAATTTCTCATTTAAGTCTTTACTGTGTACTTATTCCACAGGGAGAATTATGATATCCTGAGAAATAAAATCAAACTGTATGGTTCCTTCTCTCAAAATAGGCTTGAACCACCAACCTTTTGAATAGCAGCAGAACACTTAGCTCTTTGCTTTTATTTTCCTCTGCTTTTAAAATGAAAAAAGTGTAAAGTATTTATTCATTAGAAATTAACAATAAACATTATATGTTATCAAAAATAACATTTTTGTGAAAAATACCTCTATCTTCAAAACAAAACAAAAACATATAATGATAAGTTTGTTATTGTTGCTAGCTGTTAAGTCAATTCCAACTCATGGTGACTCCATGTGTGCAAGTACAACTACTCCATAGGGTTTTCAAGGCTGTTACCTCTTAGAAGCAGATCACCAGGAATGTCTTCTGAGGCAAAGGGGCGGCGAGGGTGGGGGGGCTGTCAAATTGCCAACCTTTTGGCTAGTAATTCAGTGCTTAACTGTTTGTACCCCTCAGGGATTTCTGATGATTAGTAAGTCAAAAAACTGGCATGGCAGAGATCTCTGATTTTCTCTAACTTCACAAAGTGGGAGGAGGATCAAGTTCAATAGCTCAAGGCTGATTCCTATGAGGCTGAGGTCAGACATGCCTCTACCCTCCAACCTTTTTACTAATTCTGACACCAACCATCTCTCCATGCACTCTCTACTTTTCTGCTGAGTTCGATTTGTTGCAATGGCCACACAGAACTCACAGACATCACACTATAATGATCTCTTTAATGTTTGACTTAAAAAAATCATGTAAAAGACATCTAGATACTCATAGCCACTTCTTCATTCAATCTATTGCAGAATGCAGGTTAAAGTATATGAAGAAAATTCAGCTTAATACAGATATGAAGTTGGAAAATGAAGGAACGTTTTTAACATTCCTTTCAGATAATGATACTTTACTAAAACTCTACAAATGGGAACTTAATGATTAATTGCAATGTGAAACCTGAAACCATCTAATAAAGTCTTCATACACTGTGACATTAAAATCCATTGTTCTGAATATATTATAATTTCAAACTTTTACCTTCAATGATACAAGTGAGAAAATAAAAAGATAAAGAACAGACTCAGAGAATATTTGCAAATATATAACTGATAAAAATCTCATATCTGGAATATATATATGAAGAACTATTACAATTCAATAGTAAGAAGATAAACAACCTAATTAAAATGGGTAAAATATTTGAATGACAATTCAAAGGTGAAAATACAAATGGCCAATAAGCACATGAGAAGATAGCCAGCATCACTAGTTATTAGGGAAAAGCAAATAAAAACCACAGTGAGAAACCACTATAATCAAAAAGACAGTAACAAATGTTGTTAAGAATGCGAATAAACTGGAACCCTCAGACACTGCTGGTGGGAATGTGAAAATGGTGCAGTCACTTTGAAAAATGGGTTGGCAACCAAAGATTATTAGTGGTTACCAGGGACAGAAGGGGGTGGGGAAAGGGGAAGCTTTTGTTTGTGGGGCATTGTGTTTACGATAATAGTGGTGGAACATTTTGGAAAAGGACAGCTATAATGGTGGCATAATATGAAAAATGTTACCAATGTCCCTGAGCTGTAAACAGGGAAGTTGTTATGTTGGCAAATGGCTTGTTGTGTATGTTTTCACCACAAAAAAAGTAAAAAAGAAAAAGATAAAACCAAGTTTTCAAAATGTCAAACAGAGGGTTACCAAATAACCCAAAAATTCCACTCCTAGATATAGCCAGGAGACCTCAAAACATATGTCTATGCATAAATCTGTACACAAATATTCAGAGCAACATTAATAAATATAGCCAAAAAGTGGTAACAACTTAAATATCTCTCAACAGATGAATGGATAAACAAAATATATATCCATATAATGAAATACTATTCAGCTTAAAAAAAAAAACCAAACTCATACATACAACATCGAAGAACCTCAAAAACATTATGCTAGGAAACCATATGCAAAAGATCACATTTTACATGATTTCATTTATATGAGATGTCCAGAATAGGCAAATCCAGCAAGAGTAGTGGATTAGTAGATTAGTGGTTCTCAGAGGCCATGGGGAAGTGAGAATGGGGAGTGACTCCCTAATGAGTATGGAGTTTCTCTTTGTGGCGATGAAGATGTTCTGGAATTAGATAGTATGGATGGTTGTACAACACTTTCAAAATACTAAAAAGTATTAAAGTGTATACTTTAAAATGCATAAAATGGTGAATTTTAATACTAAAAAAAAGCCTAGAATGTTTGTAATTCAATTGTACAAGTGATTATTTTTTGAGACAGCCATCACATACAGATTAAAAATTATTTTATCACACAGAATATTAAAATGATGTGAATTTAAGAATGTTGTTGTTGTTGTTAAGTGCCGTCGAGTCATTTCCAACTCAGCAACCCCATGCACAGCAGAACGAAACACTGCCCGATCCCGCGCCAGCCCCACAATCCCTGCTATACTTGAGCCTATCATTGCAGCCACCGTGTCAATCCATCTCGTTGAAGGCCTCCCCCTCTTTCGTCGACCCTCCACCCTACCAAGCATGACATCCTTCTCCAGGGAATGGTCCCTTCTGACAACATGACCAAAATAGGTGAGACGAAGTCTGGCCATTCTTGCTTCCAAGGAGCATTCTGGCTGTACTTCCTCCAGGACAGATCTGTTAGTTCTTTTAGCAGTCCATGGTACTTTTAGCATTCTCCACCAGCACCACAACTCAAAAGCATCAACTCTTCTTCGGTCTTCCTTATTCACTGTCCAGCTCTCACATGCATACCAGGCGATTGGAAATATCATGGCTTGTGTCAGGTGCACCTTAGTTCTCAAGGAGATATCCTTGCTCCTCAGCACTTGAAACAGTTCCTTCGCAGTTGACTTTCCCAATGCTACACATCGTCTAATGTCCTGACTGCTGCTTCCATTGGCATCAATTGTAGAACCAAGCAACATGACATCTTTGACAACCTCAATCTTCTCTCCATTTATTGTGATGCTGCTCATTGGTCCAGTTGTGAGGATTTTTGTTTTCTTTATGTTGAGATGTAATCCATACTGCAGACTGTATTCTTCAACCTTCATCAGTAGGTGCCTTAAGTCATCCTCACTTTCAGCAAGCAAAGTTGTATTGTCTGCATATCTCAGATTGTTAATGATTCTTCCTCCAATCCTGATACCACGTTTTTCTTCATATAGTCCAGCTTCTCGGATTATTTGCTCAGTATATATATTGAATAAGTTTAGAGAAAGAATACAACCCTGATGCACTCCCTTCTTGATTTTAAACCATGTAGTGTCCCCTTGTTCTGTTCGAACGACAGCCTCCTGGTCAAGGTACAGATTCCTCATGAGTACAATCAAGTGCTTGGGAATTCCCATTCTTCTTAATGTTATCCATAATTTGTCATGATCCACACAATCAAATGCCTTTGCATAGTCAATAAAACACAAGTAAACATCTTTCTGGTATTCTTTGCCTTGAGCCAAGATCCATCTGACAACAGCTATGATATCCCTTGTTCCACGTCCTCTTCTGAATCCGGCTTGAACCTCTGGAAGTTCTCTGTCAATATACTGCTGCAAACGTTTCTGAATTATCTTCAGTAAGATCTTACTTGCATGCGATATAAATGATATTGTTCTATAATTTCTACATTCTGTGGGATGACCTTTCTTTGGAATGGGCACAAATATGGATCTCTTCCAGTCAGTTGGCCAGGTAGCTGTCTTCCAAATCTCTTGGCATAACTGAGTAAGTGCCTCCACTGGGGCATCTGTTTGTTGAAATATCTCAATTGGTATGCCATCAATTCCCGGAGCCTTGTTCTTCGCCAGTTCTTTCATTTCAGCTTTGGAATTTAAGGATATAATTAGTAATGTTGATTGCTTTATCAAGGACAGTCTGAAGTGACTTTTTTTAATGTGCACATATGGTAGTAAAAATTCTGAAGATTATTAGCACAGTTTGGAGTAACTGCCTTGATCTGTGCTAAGTTGTCAGTAGTTTTGTCCATGATTGCTTTTGTGTCTACTTAATGAATAATAATGTATTATTATTAATATGAAAATAGTTACCATCTCATGAAAGAAAATAGTTATTATCTCATGAAACCCCTGAATGGGTGTCAGAAACCCCTAGAGATCACATTTCGAGAACCACTGTATTAAAGAGTTTAGATACACACAGAAAAAGTATGGAAGGGTATATATATCATTGTGATTATCTCTGCTGAGATAAAATACTCAGTTACAAATATAACATGAAATGATCAATACCTATATAAGAAGAAGTTTAAAACCTGAAGGGCACAAAAAAGAGTTGAACATATAGAAGTATTCATCATCAGAAAGATGTCAGTTCTAAGTTAATTTCTAAATTTAAGGCGATCTAAATAAAAGTACTAGATTTACTTCCTCAAACTAGACAAGAGAATTCAAAGTTCATATGGAGAAATATATAAGCAAGAAGAACCAGAAAAATTATGAAAAGAGAAGAGTAATTTGGGAAGACTAGCCCTACCAATTATTAAACATAGTAAAGATTCAGTAATTAAAATAGTGCAGTCTGTAATTATTCAGATCAACCAGTGGAACAGGATGGAAAAAGTCCAAGCAAAAAGGGGAAGTGAGGATGTTGTAAGGGTGACACCTCACAGTTGTTGTTGTTGTTACTTTGTGCTTTCGAGTCCGATCTGACTCACAGCGACCCCTCCTTGGGTTTCTGAGGCAGTATCACTATGGAAGCAGATTGCCCAACCTTCCTTCCAAGAAGTGGCTGGTGGGTTTGAACCGCCAGCCTTCTGGTTAGCAATCAAATGCCTTAGGCACTACGCTACCAGAGCTCCCATTGATAGTAAGAAAAAACTAAATGAAAACTAAATTTTAGATTTTTACAGACTGCCAAAAATCTAAAAATCTGGCGACACTGATAGGATTATCAGACACTTTCACGTATTGTTCAGAGTATAAATGATACTACTTCTATAAGGCAATGTGGCAACAGTGATCAAGACATAAACACATTTTACCCTCTGATCTAGTAATTCCATTTTTAAGAATTTATCCTATAGACACATACATACACATACAAACATACACGATTATCCATGCCATTATTTTAATAGTAGAAGACAGGAAGCAATCCAGAGGTAAAGCAAGGAATGCTGTTGTTGTGGTTAAACGCTGTGGAACTGGCTCCCACTCATGGCAACCTTGTGTAAAACCACTATGAAACACTGCTCAGTCCTGTACCATCTTCATGATTATTGGTGTGTTTGAGTCCACTGTTGTGGCTTTTGTGTTAACTGATCTCACTGAGCACTTCCCCTGTTTCCAGTGACCCTTGATTTTATCAAACATGATGTCCTTTTCTAACCATTAGTCTTTGTTGATGACCCCGTGCAAAGTAAGCAAGCCAAAGTCTTGCCATAACAGGCAGCTGTAAAACAAATTTCTACACACAGCTGTTGTATTGGGTTTTATTGCTGCTCTTACAAATTAACACAAACTCAGAGGCTTAAAACAAAACTCATTTACTATTTGTTATCTCATAACTGAGTGGGTCAGAAGTTGGGCTCAGGTCTTGTCAGGATAAAATCAAGTCAGAGGCAGCATTCCTTTGCAGAAGCTGTGTGGGACGATCTACTTCCGAGCTCAATCAGGTTGCTAGTAGAATCCAGTTCCATGTGGTTGTTGGACTGAGGTCCCTGTTTCTTTGCTGTCTGTTGGCTGGGGGCTGTTCTTTGCTTCTAGGGGACAACAGCATTCTCTAGTATATGGTCCCCTTTCTTATCTTTCAAGTCAGAGTGATGAGGTTGAAGCACCTTATCTCTCTGTATCTTATTCCTCATCTCTCTGACTCTTCTGCCTTCCTCTTGCATTTAAGGATCAATATGATTTCATATGGACTCATCTGGATAATCTGGGATAATCTATTTATACTTAGCTAAATTGATCAGCTACCTTAATTCCATCTGCAAAGTCCTTTCACAACAGTATTTAGACTGGAGTTTAACTGAACAATCAGATGAGAATCTTGGGGGAATAGTTACCATAAATAAAGAAGGATCTCCTGAATATATTATTTAATTATAAAAAGTACAGAAGAGTATTGTGGGTTTTTTTATGTTTTTATTGTATTAAAATATACATAACAAGATTCATCATTTTATCCATTTTTGAGTGTACAATTCAGTGGCATTAAGAACACTGACAATGTTTTGAAGCCATCACTACTATCCATTTGTAGATCTTTTTTTTTTTCTCTTTTTTTTATCATCCCAAACAGAAACTCTATACCCATTAAACACTACCACCCTATTAGTTGTACCTATCAGTCCCTGGCAACCTCTATTCTATTTTCTGTTTATATGATTTTGCCCATTCTAAATACTTCATATAAGTGGAGTAATACAACATTTGTCCTTTTGTGTCTGGCTTATTTCACTAAGCTTAAGGAGCTCTAATAGTGCAGTGCCTAAGGCATTTGACTACTAACCAGAAGGTTGGCAGTTCAAACCCACCAGCTGCTCCCCGGAAGGAAGATGAGGGAATCTTCTTCTATAAAGATTTACTGCCTTGGAAATACAATGGGGATTGTTATGAGCCTTAATCGATTCAATGGCAATGGGTTGTTTTTTTTTTTTAATGTTTCCAAGGTTCAACAATGTCATACCATGTATTAGAACTTCATTCATTTCTCTTTATGACTAAAAAATATCCCCTTGTATGTACATACATTTTGTTTGTCCATTCATTTATTGATGGACATTTGGGTTGTTTCCACCTTTTGGCTAGTGTGAATAATGTTGCAATGAACATTGTGTACAAGTATCTGTTTGAATTACTGCTTTCTATTCTTTTGGAGTGGAATTTCTGCATCCTAAGATAATTTTACGTTTAACTTTTTAAAAAACTCCAAACTGTTTTCCATAGTGACCGTACCATTTTACGTCCCCACCAGCAATGGATTAAGGTTCTGATTACTCTACATTTTGTTTAAGAAAGAGTAAAATATAAGCATGTATAGTCATATTTGCTTAAATTGGATAAAGAAACACTGAAAAGATAAATAAGAAACTAAAATATTTATCTCTACAGGATGAAAATCTGAATGATATAAATGTACTATGTATTAAAAAAGAAACAAACTTTAAAAAGGAATTTTTATTTATATCAGTGTAGCTTCATGGATTTTTTTTTTTATTGAATCATAATCTTTTACTCTCATTCATTTTGATGTTCAAATTGTCACAAATTTGGCCAGTGGGAGCTCGTTCTAGCTAAATAAATAGGAAGGGAATAGTCTTATAGCAAAAACCAAATAATGAATACAGAATGCATAATAGAATTTTAAAATCATTATATGGGAAACTCATAGCAATAACTGAGTCAGTCAAAAATCATCAATGGATACTAAAACTAGTGGGTGAGAGTTTGAAAAGTAAGAATATATTTACAGAGTCTTAAGTATTTCCCCAAAAAAATACTTGTTAATTACAAAGGCTTTTGTTGTTAATTTTGTTGGTTTTTTTTTTTTTTAATTAATCTTGCAGACATCACCTATAATGGGACAAACAGGCATCATATATATACCTTCTGCTATGATACACTGAAAAAGAAAAAAAGTGACATCTCCCTTCTGTGATATTCCGTGCCAAAAAAAATGCATAATCTGAATCTAATTATAAAGAAATATAGGTAAAACTCAAATTGAAGAGCATTCTACAAAATAACTGGCCTATATTCTTCAAATGTCAATGTCATGAGACCCAAAAATACTGAGGAACTGTTCTAAATTAAAAGAGACTAAAAAGGTATCACAACTGAAGGCAACAAACATCTTCTTTTGCTATAAAGAAACAATATCGGGACAATTTATGAAATCTAAAAAAATGAAGATGAAGAGTGTACTCTTCAAACTTCTGTTACCACTTTTATGTAACTTTGCAATGATGTCAAATATAATAAATATTCTTTTAAATTTATCATACGTATATTTTTTCTATTGAAAGTAAAAATCAGTTAATTTTAAAAGATTATGCTGTCAAAACAGAAATATAGACCAAGAATGCCATTAATTCTGATTGGAGCACTGCTTGTATTAAACCACATGGTATTATAAAGTAATGGCAGCCATTTTTTCCTAAATAAATCAAGCAAACAATTAATTAAATAAACTAATAAATAAAAATTCAATTCATGGTTCACCCATACCAATTTTGTCATCTGGCTTTGCTCTAACGTCTCAAATATTCCCAGATATTGACATCTTTTCTCACAAATAGACATCCTTCTATTTGATAAAAGCATAAATTATACACATATGCATTCTTCTTCTCTACTAGGATTCTAATACGAAAACTGTTTTAATGAAAAAATTAATTTATTCTGAATGGATAATGCATGCACTTGATCAAAATGTGAAAAATGGAATACAATGAAAAATAAGTCTTTCTCCCACCTCTGAAACCCAGCTTTCCAGTTTCCCTTCATAGAAATAATCACCGCTATCAGTTTCTTGTTATTTTATATGTGTATGCCTGTATGTGTAAGTAGTAGTGGCAGCACAGTGCCTAAGGCATCTGACTGCTAACCACAAGGTTGGTGGTTCAAAGCTACCAGCTACTCCATGGAAGCAAGACTGGGAAACCTACTTCCACAAAGATTTACCACCTCAGAACCCCAATGGGGGTCACTATGAGTCTGAATTGACTCAATGGCAGTGGTTTTGATGTATGTATGTATACATGAGTGAGTCTGTGTATGTAAGTATAAATACAACCTTTATAAAAGCATAAATAATTATTCCTTAAGAACTTTGAAACAGCTATTCCTTAAACATATCCACAGAAATACTGTATGATATACACTTCAGACTGTCAATATGAAAATGACTTTTTTGTAACATAGGAAAAAGATTATAACTTACCAAATCAATTTCTTTTTTCCTTCGTTTTTTCCTTTCTGTTTTTGGCACCTGGCAGAGAGTAGGAAGAAATAAAGAAATTGTGTTATAATAATGACTAACACATTTTCATACTTATTAGCAAATGCTGAGATTTTTGCTCAATAGGTAAGAGAGCAAGCAGCTCCTTACTCTTCAAGAACTCTGCAGTGCTAAATATCAAATGTGAGAATTTTTTTTTTAATTTGATAAACATGATGCTAATAAAAACTAAAGAATGGAAGGATAATTTAGGAATTTTTTTTTTTTTTAGCCTCAACTCTATCCAGAAGTCACATCATATAAAAACAATTATTCTATTTTAATCATTAAAACACACTTAAAACAAGATTATTATTATTGCTATATAGATTTGCTGACACATCTTCCTAAAATCTAATTCAAAGCGAAATATAATTTGTAGGTGCTTATGCACAGGCCACTAGATGACACAAAGAACTTCATCTTTAACCACGGCTTTTTTCAAAGGAAATTAATAATCTCTATAAAAGCCGATGGTATCATCTTGAGGACACAACACTATTTTCTAATTCAGCGAAGAATGTATTCATTGCAGATAGTTTAGATAAAATGGTCTCATGAGCTTACAAACCAGAAAGGGGTTTAGATGATCTAAAGTAGTGCTAAGTTGACATGCTCATTATAATATTTTTCCCAAATAACAAGATGTCCCAAACAGGACAATGTACCAAATGTGAGTGATCAACACAGTGGCATTAAGGAAGAGGAAGACATGGAGAGTAACATGGGAGGTACAGACAACAAAGATGAACCCTTTTGCACATACAATACTGCGTTGTCAGTGACGACAAACATTGATCTATGGATGGATAGATGAGTGGACAGGCTGAAAGACTAGGTATGTCCATGCAGGGGGAGTGTGCCCATGACCATGTATAGTGCTGGCAGACAATACTTCTACAAGTGTATTTGTATATGTGTAAGAATTTCTAAGTATACAGTAGAGCTGACAAGGGATAAGGTTGTAGTCACTTCTTGGCCACAGCCAGCTACCCAGAGGGAGCAAGTAGTTGGATCTGTGGGCTTGGGACCAGGGTCACAGGGGGCAACAAGTTCAGTTGGGATAAATACTACACAAAAACATTATTCCACATCCTACTTTAGCAAGTAGTGAATGGGATCTTAAAAGCTTGCAAGCAGTCCTCTAGATGCAACAATGAGTCTTGCCTCTTCCAGAACAAAGAAGAATGAAGAAAACTAAAGACGTGTGGGAACAATTAGTCCAAGGGATTGGTACACTATGCAGTCCTCAGCCTATATGACTATGAGACCAGAAGAAGTGGATGGTGCCCAGCTACCACTGTCAACCACTCAGAGGAGGATCTATGTAGGAGATCCTCAATAGAGTGGGACAACAATGTGGAACAAAACTCAAATTCATTTTAAAAAAACAGGGACTAGGTTTGCTGGTCTGATACAGCCTGGTGGAACACCTGAGACTATGGTCCCTAGGGGCCCTTCAGGTCTGGAACTGAACTTACTCCTGTGGCTTCCAGCCAAACAAAAAACAGGCATATGAGCTGAACATTTACATTAGGTAGATACACTCCTTGGAGAGATCAATCATGGGAGAATAGAAGGGCTATGTATGCACAGCGAGACAGCTTGGGGGGCAAGAGTACATGGGAGGGAAGGACACAGTAAAGAGGTGGGTACAGGGAGGAAGTGGGAGGAGAGCTGTTACGCTGTGGGAGATTATAGTCAATGTCATGAGACAAAGTGTATGTGAACTGCTGTAAGGATGATGAATTTGCTCTGCAAACTTTCACCTAACTCACAATAAAATTTAAAATAATAATAATAATTCTTAATTGAATACTTTCAGAAATTAAAGTATATCACATTTACCTTTGTGGTTATGCAATCTGAAGTCTTGAATTCATTCATATATTCATCTAAAAATACTTTAAAAGTATTGACCCAAACTCTGACTGGAGATTCACTCCAATCTCGTTGCTCAAGCCTCATGGTCTTTTCCAGAATCTGTTCAAATAGTGCATAGAGGTCTTTGTACCGTATGCTTTTACCATCATCCATCTAATAAGCAGTAAGAGAAGAAATACAAGGTTGTATGAAGAACTTCTTTAAGTACTAAAGACGGAGTCAACTAGTACTTGGTATTATTTAGGGTAGTGACTAAGATTCTAATATACTTTCTAATGCGTATACTGATAATTTCCAATACCAGGAGTGCATATGGTATTTATAAACTTCCACTGTACTGTACAATGTATACAGGAGAAAACCTTGGTAAAGATCTAACAATTTAAATAATGTAATAATTTCAGCAAGTTGTGGGAATTTCTTCCATGGCTTTAGGTTTTTAACTATATTTAGCTATAAAGGTTATTCATATCTCTTTTAGTTATCTATTCCCAGAAATAAATATTATTTTAGATAGTTCCACTCTAAAACTGGGAGAATAAATTACATGGATTCTGGAATAATGATGTGTTTAGGAAATCATCATTATTTTCATTTACTTTTCCAAAGAGGAGTGACATACCCAGAGTAACACCACTGCTTACAAAGGAATCTAAATAGAATTCCATTTAATTTATTTAAACGGAGTCTAGAATCTTTATGAGAGAACACTCTTGAATTAATCAAAATTTGTTACATGTATTTAAATTTATTTCCCTTTCACCTCTTCAGACTCAGAGCTTGAACTTCTTTGATACAGGCTTAGAAAACTACTATTAAGTTCTGCTTCATAATGTTGGTTCTGCTCATATGTTTAAAGTGTACTAACAATCTTGAATTTCTAATCTAGGAAATACAAGTATGAAGAAGAGAAAGAGAAGAGTGTTAAGTAGCTAGGAAGATTAGAAAAATGTGGCCAACCATGTCCTTCCCCAATCCTAGCCATTTGCCATAAATAATAAATGGATTACTCCTTTATTATAGTTTTTTTTCCTATTCTCTCAGACTATATGACTTCTTATTTTTAAAGTCAAAAAAATATTACACTGAGAAAGGAAAAGGTAAAGGAGACAGAAGAAAATTTTACTGATTTCTCTAAGACTAGACTGAACAAAAAACCCCAATTAAATAGGAAATACTTTATAGACCATGACAATTCATAGACAAAAGTGATTCTATGTAGCAAAGCATTATTAAATACTTTAAAAAGAAACACAACACAAAGACTTTAGCACTAAATACACACACACACACACACACATTTTAAAACATGACTAATATCTGAGAGGGAGGTCTGGTAGCATAGTGGCTAAGTCATTTGCCTGCTAACCAGATGGCTGGCGGTTCAAACCCACCAGCCACTCCTCAGAAGGAAGGTTGGGCAATCCTACTTCCGTAGTGATACTGCCTCGGAAACCCAAGGAGGGGTCGCTATGAGTCGGGGCCGACTCGACGGCACATAGCAACAACAACAACAACATCTCAGAAGATAAATCTGTGATGTAAGTTGATATATAGAGCAATTATAAACATAAAGTATCCTAATTTCACTGAAAGATAATTTACAAGAATTAGAGCTAAAACCTTGAAAAACAGCTAAAATATTACGAGCAGTCAAAATTGTAGTGAGCCAATGGGTGAAATAAAATGGTACCCAGAGCATCTGAATATATGAACTCAATATTATAGTAAGATGAAATACCTGTAAGGTGGAAAACAAACAAACAAAACTACTCAGGGAATTCAAGGAAGTTATTCATCCAAGGACAGTTTACTTTGCCTCACCTATCCCCCCTAAAACAAAAACTAAGAGTTGGAGAAATTTCAGTTGAACACAGACTCGGTATTACTTTATATAATGAGGCCAAATATTTCTTATGTTGAATATTTCCTAACATAGTCAAACTTACCGCCAATGCAGATGAGTAAAAGTTGAAGATATTCTGCCGAAATTCTTTTAGGGCTTTTTTAAATACAACATCCACTAGTGTATCTTTCTTGCTGTCTTCATTATCTAGGTCATTCATCTGGGGACCACAGAAAGAGTTTTATATACAATTAAAAGAGGTATATACAACAATAGATTGTCTCTTCAACAATAACTGTCCTGCAAATGTAAGCCACTGGTTATTATGGAACCCAGGGAAAATATGAATAGTAGCCAACTTTCATTGTTGTTGTTGTTGTTATGTGCCGTCGAGTCGGCCCCGACTCATAGCGACCCCTCCTTGGGTTTCCGAGGCAATATCACTACGGAAGTAGGATTGCCCAACCTTCCTTCCGAGGAGTGGCTGGTGGGTTTGAACAGCCAGCCTTCTGGTTAGCAGTCAAGTGCTTTAGCCACTATGCTCCCTACTAGATAATTTCTGATATTAACATTGTGTGAATCTATAGTTCTACTAACAGAAAAACACCTCTAAGTAAGTGTACAACAGCAAGCCTCAACTTCACATATGATAACACAATAAAATAGAAAACAGTAAGTTAAGCCAAAAACCTTAAATTCTATCTCCCTGTTGGACTTATGTATACCCTATATTTGCCCTTTTCTGGTAAAATATCTCATTTACTGAAGCATAAAAACCTTGATCTCTAAAGAGCATTTCCTAATATATACAAGCATTCCATAGCCAAAGCCACTGAGCCTACCTCAGCATGTAAACTAAAACCAATCCCACTTCCATTGAGTTGACTCTGATTCATACTGACCCCTACAGGACAGACCATAACTGCCCCATAGGGCTTCTAAGACTAAATATTTATAGAAGTAGACTGCTTTATCTTTCTACTGCAGAGCAACTGGTGGGTTAGAACCACTGACCTTTTGGTTAGCAGCCAAATGTGTTAACCACTATGTCACCAGAGCTCCCTCACCAAGTAAAATGTACCTTTTTCAGAAGAAACTCATCCATGCTTTTCAAATCGCTCGCACTGGCTATGATCTGGACAGAGTCATTTTGCCAATGCATTGACTCCAAAGCCACGTTGCTGATCTTCACATTTCGCTTGCGCTTTGCCTTTGGAGAAGGCTCTTTGTTCTCTTTGAACTCCTTTCGGCAACTACCAGGCAGTTCCGGGCTCAAAGGAGGTGTTGGGTGATACTGAACTAATTCTACAATACAAAATACAGGACCCCAAAAAATACAGTGAAAATATTAATAATATCCATACTCTTCTTTTTAAATTAGTGTTCCTTTAGTAAGTCACTGAAATATCTGCAAATGTCTGAGAAGCAAATTAACGTTAATATTTGATATCAAGGTGGTAGGGACTAAATCCAGAATGCAAATTTGTGTGAAAAATGTATTTAAGAATTCCAAGTTTCCAAAGGAAAATGCCACCATGTTTCCCAAAAAGCTTAAGTCTGACCTTGAAGACCTGGAAGAAAGTACCTTCAGAACTTCACCCTGTGTCCCAAAGACCTCAATACCAAAGAAAAAAAGGAGGAGTAAACAATCACAGTAGCATGTTAAATAAGCCAGTCATAGTTTTATTACAACTGTTTCAAACAACATCCAGCTATTTACAACTCCAACAAACATGTGGGGTTTGATTATTATTATTATTTCTTTATGAGGGTCTAAAACCATAAGTGCTTCAGTGACAATATCTGGTTAGGTAGCCAGGTAACTCAACTGGCTCACCTAAGCTTCAGTCTCTTATACATCCCTCAAAAAATTGTCTGGGTTACTCAAAGAATTCCCAGAATGAACTGGCTTTGTATATAATATTGAGAAGCACATCAGTTGTCCTCTACAATCATTTCCACCACAGAAACTGGATTACATGTAATTCATTAAAATCTAGAACTAGATTGGATTTGCCAAAGCCCTGTCTGGGACTTGCTAAGAATGTTGGCCTTCTCTTGTTTCACATTTCTGCTTGTTCCCCCCACATTTATGATCCTTTCTTTTTGTCCAATGGTATATCCTAATTCCATATAAAAGCTAACCCTAATAATAACAAAGGAAAAAAGTAGCCTCCTGCATGTTAACCATTAGCTGAGGCAGAACTGAAACAAAACCTATTTCAGAGAGATATGGCCCCAGAATAACAAATATAAAACTAGAGGACACACGTAAACTCAAAATGATATCAACTTATTCTAATTCCATTTTATAATCTAGATATATAATTATTTAATTGTTTCATTTACTGAATATCTTTCTTAAAATATAAGAAATAACGGTTACTAAAGAAACTGGCTATAATCTTATTTCAACATTAAAAACAAAGACTATATTGATAAAATTTCACCCAAATATAAACCTACACATGTATCCTTATGAAATAAACACATCATGAAGTCTGCTTATAATAAATACTTCACTAAAGAGCTTTAGGAGCTCTGGTAGCATAGTGGCTAAGACAATTGCCTGCTAACCAGACGGCTGGTGGTTCAAACCCACCAGCCACTCCTCGGAAGGAAGGTTGGGCAATCCTACTTCCGTAGTGATACTGCCTCGGAAACACAAGGAGGGGTGGCTATGAGTCGGGGCTGACTCGACAGCACACAACAACAAAAGAGCTTTAAGCTTTGGACTTCCGATAAAATAACAGAATAGGCAGAAAAGCTAAACAGACCTTCTTCAATGAAGAAAAGAAAAACCTACTGACACAGATACAGAAGATAATCCTGGAACCCCAAGCTTTGAAAGGAAGGGTAAGTGTATTAAACACCAACTAGTAGAAGAACCTGAAAGAAAACAGTGAACAAGGAGACAAAGGGGCTGTGGACTGTTAGCTCTCCTGGCAGCTTGGACAGCCTGAACATTTCCAAGTGGTGTTAAGAACTGAGAATTAACCAAAAAATTGGCCCTGCTCAGCAAGGGACACGGACTATTGCACAACTGAAAAGGGAAACATCAAAGAAGGAGACAAACTGAGCTATGGACTTTCAGCTGTCTGGAGGGTGCAGTCATTTTGAATGTTTATAAGTGGTGGCTGGGCCCAGTTATTTTGAATGTTTACAAGCAGTGGCCATTTTGGAAAATTTAAAGCGACAGCATTCTCATTCAGATTCAGGGACCTAAGATTAGGCTCCACTTGCCAAAGACAGCATGGACATATGGGAGGCTGATGACTGAAAAGGAGACAGGTGGTGAGTGCGTAAGTGCTGCCAACTAGCAAACAGAAGAACACAGTACCCTGCTTACTCAGATACATCCAAAAAAACCAAAAATCTTGGGCTAATCAAACCAATAAAAAACCCATTGCCATCAATGATTCAGACTCATAGTGACCGCCATTGAATTTCCTAGGCAGTAAATCTTTACAGAAGGAGATGGCCCCATCTTCCTTCTGCAAGGTAGCTGGTGGGTTTGAACTGTCAACCTTTTGGTTAGCAGTCAAATGCTTTAGGCATTACACCACCTGAGCTCCTTATTCCAACATACAATCATCGATTAAATATAAACACAAAAATGTCACAATGTCTCAGAGACAAGAGACCATCAAAGTATACAGAAAGAAGTATGATAAAGCAGTAGAAACAAGGGATCTGGATACAGACCTAGAACACATCCCTGAAGAAGCAGCAGCATTGGAACTCCCTGATAAGGAGTTCAATAGAATTATATTTAGGTACCTTCAATGACTTGAGAGACAGATCGAGAAAAACACTGACAAAATTGAGAAAAAGACAGAGAAAATCCAAGAAAAATTGTGGAAGATAATATAAGAGCAAAATGACTAAATAAATGAAAAATCAGAAATGATACAAAATCTGTAGATAGAAATACAGAAGATTAATACTAAATTTTCAGAAATAGGTAACACATTGAATGGGCAAAGGTGTGGAATTGAATCAATGGAAGACAGAATTAGTGACACTAAAGACAAATACCTCAATACTTCTTCAGAAAGGGTTCAATCAGAAAAAAGATCAAAAGAAAATGAAGAAAGCCAAAAGTTCACATGAGATACCCTCTAAAGGAATAACCTACATGTAATCAGAATCCCATAACAGGAAAAGACAAATAAAACCACAGAAAAAACTGTCCAAGATTTGTTGGAAGAAAATTTCCCTGATACGATGAAAGTATATATATATACATTCAGGAAGTCCAACGAACCCCAAACAGGATAGACTCCAAAAGAGAATCACTAAGACATATCATCTTCAAACTCACCAAAACCAAAGACAAAGAAAAACCCCTGAAACCAGCATAGGAAAAATGAAAAGTTACCTACAAAGGACAAACAATAAGACTAAGTTCTGATTTCTCAGCAAACACCTTGCAAGCAAGGAGGCAATGGGATGGTATAAATAAAACTCTGAAAGAAAAATAATTTCCAACAAAGAATTATATACCTGGCAAAACTGTCTCTCAAATATGATGAAGTTAGGACATTTCCAGACAAGCAGAAATTAAAGGAATTTGTTAAAACCAGATTAACCTTACAAGAGATGCTAAAGGGAGTCCTTTGCACAGAGAATCAGGAACAGCAAACAACAACTGACCATTAACATACATGATGACACAACCCAGAAACTAACCCAGTTATAGAAGTATCTAAAGGAAATAAGCCTACAAGACTGTAAACAGGGAACCAGAGATATTAATTGGCAAATGAAGACAACTACAAACCAAAAAGAGGGAAAAAGAAGTGTAGTTACAGAACTTCTAAATGGTTAGGAAGTCAAGAGAATTGCAATATAGAACAGACTGTTCTAAACTTGGGAAGAAAATTATGAAGCACAGGAGAACCTCAAGGAAAAATGATAAATCTTCACGTTAAAATAAAAGAGGATACACACAAATATTCAGCAAATACTAAAGCAATAGCAATGAAGGAAGTGATAACAAGATTCAAAAACAAAATGAACCCAGCACAGAAAATTATATGGAACAAAGAAATCAGTAACACTATGAAAACCACATAACAAAATGACAGAAACAAATTCATATTTGTCAATAATTACACTGAATGTTAATGGATTAAAAGCACCATTTAACAGACAGAGAGTTGCAGACGCCATAAGAAAATATAACCCATCAATATGCTGTCTACAAGAGACACACCTTAGAGACAAAGGCACAAATAGATTAAAAATCAAAGGTTGAAAAAAGATATATCAAGCAAATGGCAACCATAAAAGAACAGGAGTGGCAATATTAATTTCTGATTAAATAGACTTTAAGACAAAAAGCACCATAAGAGACAAGGAAGGATAGTATATAATGATTAAAGGATCAAATGAACAAGAGGACATAACCATAATAAGTATCTATGCTTACTATTCACCCAATGAAAAAGCCCCAAAATACATAAATCAGAATTTCACAGAATTGAAAAGAAAAAGAGATGACACCACAGTCACAGGAGAATTTAGTACACTACTTTCAATCAAAGATAGAACAACTAGAAAGAAACTCAACAAAGATGCAGAATGACTAAACAATACAATTTATCAATTGACCTTATACATATTACAGAGCACTTCACCCAATAACACCACAATATACATTCTTTTCCAGGGCACATGGAACATTCTCTAGGATACACCATATGTCAGGCCACAAAGCAAGCCTTAATAAATTTTCAAATACTGAAATACTGCGAAGTATCTTCTCAGATCACGATGCTATATAAAATTAGAAATCAACAACAGGAAGACCAATAAAAAAAGAGCAAACATATGGGAACTGAGTAACACCCTCCTTGACAATGACTGTATAATAGAAGAAATAAAAAACGAAATTCAAAAATTCCTTGAATCAAATGACTGACAACACAACATACCAAAATCTTTGGGACACAGCAAAAGCAGTGATCAGAGGCCAATTTATAGCAATAAATGCATACATCAAAAAATAAGAAAGAGCCAAAATCAACACCTTAACCCAACATCACCAAAAATTAGAAAAAGGGCACCAAAGAATGCCTACAATCACCAAAAGAAAAGAAATAATAAAGACTGAAGCAGAAATAAACAAAAAGAAAACAGACAACAGAAAAAATCAACAAGATAAGAAGTTGTTTTTTTGAAAAGATTAATAAAATGACAAACCCCTGGGCAAATTTAACAAAGAAAAAGGGAGAAAGAATACAAATAAAATGACTAAGAAGCCAACTGGGTGAAGTCACAACAGAACCAACAGAAATTAA